AGCTGATGACATATATATATATATATATTATAATATTTTGTTATAATCATTTTTGCTTTTTGTATTATTACTGATTAATATAAGTGCAATAGTTTTTATCAGACTGCCGTACTTGGTACAAAATGGAAATGAGAAAATATGAATTATGACAACCACTCAGTTGTCTGTGTGGCTTGTGAATCGTCTGATCTACACCTCGCTTTAGTAATCTGGTTAAACTGCACCTTCAGTGATTATCTTGTTTATAAGCAACTGCAATTACGGCTGACCTCGGCGGTTGACTGGTCAAGGATGCGGTGTACAGTAAGGTAATGATAGTGATAGCACAGGGAGACGGGATTTGCTGGTTTGAAATGAGAAGAACAGATGCTCCTAAGATACAAATGTGACCACTAAAGACCCTCGCTTAGACGTTAATTTGCCGAGCTGGAGCACTTTCGTCCCAGTTAGATGACCTGCTACCACAGCAGAGAAGCAGAACCATGCCGGAAATACTCTAGATTGACTTGATGAATATTTTTAGGCAAAAACATCTAATTTAGACTAAAATATGTGCCTAATAGCACCAACGGGAATGATGCACTATAGGTTACACTGTGAATTTTTCTGAGTTCATATTGCTTGTGTTCTGAAGTGTTTTGTTATATAATCTCTCTTTTAGTGGAGACGGCTTCAGTTTTAGAAATGACTTCATCCGATTTAGAGCAAACAGCCTTTGAAAACAATGATTTGTTGGAAGGTTTGTGATACACAAGCTACTAAATACTACTAATCACTACAAACTCATCAACAAATAGGAGATGCTATAATATACTAACATAGATTTTTAACAAGACTTAGACAATAGAAAATAGAGAAAGAAAATAGCTCTGTAAATGCTGACAGCTGACACCCTCGAAAAGAATGAAAGATAATATTGAGGAAGTAAAATAAAATCAGAAGTGCAGATGCGTAGGTGAGCGCCCCTACATAAGAGTTCATATGATGTTACAGACAGTCTGAAGAATAAAAACGAGGCAGTTTACCACACAGTTGGAGACCGGAGCTGTTTTGCCTGACACATGTGAATCTTTTCAATGCTTTAGGACCCGGAGCAGTTCAGGATGGCAACAGCGGCACGTCAACGGTCTTCACACCCACCTGTCTACTTCTCATCATACTTCTACAACTCTTGCTCAAGTTTTGATGCCGAAGATGTTTTTCAGTGGATAAAAATCACAGTTTGTGTGACATCACTCATCCTGGAGTCGCAAATCGTGCATGGGTTACCGAAAATGCCCAAAAATGTGCATGGGGTACCCAAGTACTTATTTTTAATAAAGTAATCATGCATTTCTTTTGTTTATAATAGAGTTTAATAATGTAACTCGTCTTACATTGCTAATTATCGCACTGTTTTGCCCCACTGAATACAGTTTTTGAATCCATAAAATGCAAATGACAGAGGCATGTTTAATTTTAAATATTTATTTTTGTGACTCTCATTTTAATTTAACTCTGTAACCCCTTAAGAATTCATATAGAATACAGTGTGATTGGGGAGTAATTATTTCAAGTCCAAGGCATGCGATAAGGAAGGGCATATGTCTCCGTCTTTTTTTTTTTTTTTGGATTGTTGTTATATACTTTACTGTATCATAACTGTAAAGCTGATCAAAATAAGCAGCACAAAAGACACAAACATGTTTTAGCTCTGTAATATTGGCATCAGGGTTTTTTTTTTTTTGAGTACATCTAATCTGTATTTTACCATTTAACACACACAAAACAATGCGATACATATCAGTATTTTTTATTTTGATATTATTTTGATGACCAGAATGGCACAGTCGGACTGATGTACAATGTACAATGTATGAGTCAAAGTTGGAAAAAGTTGCATTTGGAGATTTGTTCTGGGTGTAATGCAAAGATATTGGATCCCATTTAAAAGCCCAGAGCAATCTACTAATATCTGTTGATTTGTATTTTTTATTTTTGTTACCACAGTTTTTCCAAATGGCTTTTTGTTGAATTTTGTCCAGATTTTGAGTTACACAAACCAAACTGGGCGCTTCAAATGTTCTTTATTTAAACACTCTCATCGCCGTTCCTGCTAACATCTCTGTATGTATATGCATATATATAACTTGTACAAAGGGAAAATATGCACACTTGTTTTTACTAAAATTGTGAACCTGTGAACAATGCAACATTTTCTTCCTTTTTTTTTTTTATTCCCTTTTTCTGAAGCTGTGTAATTTATTTCTCAAATGGTATTATGGTAGATACCAGCTCATTTCAGTTACTCGTTGTGAACTCCGATGTCTAAATACTGTGATTTCGGAAAAAGCAGATGAGACTCATTTGACACTCATTTGAAAATGTCATGTTATCCTCTGTATTCTGGAAACAAAAGTGAGATTTGATTAGAAGTTCAGTTTCTGAATCTTACCATCGCAGTATTAAGATGCTGTTTGACCCTTAAATCCATATTACAGTTTTGTTCTGTTTTGTTGCAACATTTGACAGGATGTATGTCTAATGTTTCCCTTTTTTTTTTCATTTGAAGGAATAGTTCTGCCAAAAATGAAAACTGTCATAATTTATTCACCAGCATGCTTTTCCAAAGAATAAACAAATCAAAACACAAAATTCTGAGAATAGAAACAAGTATTCCTTGTAGATTTCAGTTATTCTGCTAAACTATCAGGCCTCGGATGACTTGGAATGTAGTGCCCAAGTCATACTGACCACTTTTATGATGTTTTCTTGTCATTCTTGTTGCTCAACAGCATCTGACACTTAGGTAAAATAACTATTAAGACATTCGCCAGTACATAATTTGTGATTTATGAAAGAAAAAAATAATCCCACAAAATGACTTGAGGGTGAGTAAAATTATGGCAGTTTTCATTTTTGAATGAACAATCCCTTTAAATATAATGTTTTTAAAACCACATATCAGAGCTACCATTAGTCCAGTGGATTTTAAGCACAAGTTGTATGTTAATGAAAGGGAATGTGATGTATGTGCAGTGTGTTTTCTTGCCCCAAAGTTGAATTGTTTAGCATTATGGCATTACTTTTTATCTTTTTGTTTTTTTCTTTAAGATATAGGGACCACAATGAGACTAAGAACAGTTCACACATTTCATAAATAGGTAGATCTGTGAGACTAAAACTGTCACGACAGTCAGAAATCCACGTTTATGGCAGTACTTTAATTTAAAATCACAAATTTAAAAAGCATCTCCTGATTAATGTCTGTGTGGAAAAGGTTTTGGATCAAGGTTGATCAAAGAGAGAGCGATCAATCAATGCACCGTATTAACAGAAACACAAGGCTTGTCTGTTCATGGCTGTAATTCAATTCACACGTCCAACTTTGTGAGAAGAACTGACTAAAGTTTTTTTGGGGCTCCCACCACCCAACCTTTAAAAGAACCAGCCTGGAGAAGTTCATTTTGTTCCAGTGATCTCTGGTGGTTCCCTGGAGAAGTATTTTAACTCCTTGTATTGTAAAGAATTTGTTTTTCCTTTAATGGAGATGGTGTGTTCATATTTAAGACTTACAATAATAAAATGTTGTATCTAAATAGATTTGGTCTGCAGTTTTATTGTAATTCTTGAAGGAAGGATTCATAGTTATAGAAATTATATACAAAATTTAATTATATACAAATATAAAATATACATGCACAATTAACTGTCATCTCTCTGGTCTACCTAGGTGGCAATATGGTTTTATTTGTATTTGAATTCAAAATGCTTAGTTGCATGTATGTCTTGTGCCTCTTTGTACCAGAGTATAATTGAACCAGTAAATGATAGAGTTACTGGGGCTAATGCTGCGTTCCATTTGTACTCGGAAGTTGGAAATTCCAAGTTCCCAGAAACTATTTTTTTTTTAACTGGAACGCCCTCCCAAGTCAGAGTTCCTACTCAGTATCGCAACAACTCCAACTTCAGAATCTAATATGGCTGCCCAGTGCCTCAACAGAAGAGAAACAGTAATATATTGTTTATTAACACTTATGACAATGTGTCCCTATAAACTGCACCAAGTACTATCCAACCTCTATTTGTGGACATTATACTATGGTGTTATCTGTGCCAAAATCCTGCTTTTTATGGGTTTTCAATGGACTGGTATTGCTAACAATGGCCGCGTCCATCTTGGATTTCTGACTTCTCTACTGGAACACGGTCCACTTCGGTGTGACATCATTCCCAGCTCTGACATCAGATTTCCATGGTAAATGGAACTGAATAAAATTTGAAAATTGAATATTTTTCAGAGTGGGTTTATATTTTAGAAATTTTGTATAGATACATACTTTAGGTCTTGCTTATAAAAAAAATAAATAAAAATGCTGACCCAGTAGCAGGACATGTTATCACACTGTATGGGATTAGTTGTCACAATGGCCATTAAAAAGGTAAAACATTAAACAGTTTTAAGTAACAGTAAAACAACTATTCATGTTAATAAACATGATATCAAGATATCAAAAAAAATTGCATAAAATTACAATGAACATACAACTTGCCAGGCGCGATAATCGCTCCGGTTACTAATGTAACTCCTGTTTACTCTGATACTGAAGCCTGATTTGTTCACGTTCGTGTAGTTGCACAAACCAATGGCGCTTCAACCCACCAAAAGGGGTGGAGCCGACCACTAAATAAGTCGGCTCTGAGCACCATTTTGTCAGAATCTTTCGACTGAAGCGACAGTCATCGATTCGTGCCTACGCAATGCTAGTTCCCTTATCTCTGGGAACCGAGGTTACGTTAATAACCGGAACGTTCCCTTTCAAGCGGTTTCTCCCTTTGCGTCGCTGACACTTATGGGGAATGCATTAAATAGCACCAGGCTATAAGCAAGTGCAGAATAAAGCCGCTCTGCGAGCCCAGCCCCAGATCACTCATACTGAGGGCTTCTGTAAGCATGAGCCAACAATGAGACCCAAGCCGCTTAGGACTACAAGCCGCCTTGGTGATTGATGAAGTCTACCACCATCATGTTGTCAGAACGGACCAGGACATCCTCTGAAAAGCCCTGACTGTTCAGTGACTAGCGCTTTTGAGTATGCGGGTCGCTATCACAGCTGTAGTTTGCTTGGGTGAGCACTGAATGAGAAGGATGGGCCCAGCTTGAATGGGGCTTCCATCGCTCAATGTTAAATGGAGTGATGGAGAGCGAGCGCGAGACTTCTTCGAGGGAATTCCGGCCTCAGCGAGAATTGACCCTCTCCTCTTCCTCTCTGCTTTTGTATCAGGACAGCTTCTGAGGCTCAGGGTCCAACATCACTCTGGGGCGGGGACCTTGACGTTTTGGAAATGGGTAGCATTTCGCTGAATGTGAACAAATCAGGCTTTAGTATCAGAGTAAACAGGAGTTTCCCCATAAGCGTCAGCAACACATTGGGAGAGACCGTTCAAAAGAGAAATAAAGAAATGTTTCTTAAATGGGAAATCAGCATATTAGAATTATTTCTGAAGGATCATGTGACACTGAAGAATGGAGTAATGGCTGCTGAAAATAAATTACACAAGAATAAATTACATTTTAAAAAATAATAAAATAATTTGAAAGCTTCTGTCAAAAACACTTAAAAAATCTTACGGACCCCAAACCAGCTCAAACAACACCTGTCTGTCTGTCTGTGTGTGTGTGTACTGTATATCAGACCTTTGCGTAAATGTATAGGCCTATAAATATGCTATGTTCCCTTGTTTATCCACTTAAAAAATAAAAATTAAAAATTAAACCTTGTTGAAACCAGAACAAATCCACATTAACACAGGCTGATTCAAAATCAATAATTCAAAGCCCAGATTCTGTGAGCACTTAAGCACCATCTCGATCCTCTGGTTAAGGAAGGAGGTGTCAGTAAGTGTTTTATAGAGATTTGACAGACACAGCCTGTGGGAGTGATGCGCATGAGCTTTAAGTGCTGAGCTTGAGAATGAACCTGTGAGATCCATTCTGAAAGTGACACGAGAGCAGTCTGTGATTGAAGTAAAAAAAAGGCTTCAGAGAGGACTCTTTTAATTAAAAGTCTTTTTTCTTCCGTGATTGTTCATTGTAGATGATGGCTGTAGTATCATTCACTGCTGCTAGGTAGAGAGGCACCAGGTGACAAACATGGCAGTATGGAAGACAATTCGGATAGCGCTGAGAGACAGCTGAAAATGCAGGTAAACTGCCGGATCAGCTTTACATATCTGAAAGAAAATGACGGCGACAAAAATATAAAATTGGATGAATGAATTCATGGAGTTTTAATTTAGGAAACTGCATGGGCTAGTTGTCTCAAGGGTTTCCATTCAAAGTGAGTAAAGGATTTTTTTTTTACTGGTTAAACTGGTTTAACTGGTTAGCTGCTGAAAATTTGTTTGTGAATTTTATCAAACTTTTTTGTCATTTTGGCACATTCAGGCAAGAGTGAACTACAGAACTGAGCTTGAACTGTGTTCTAAGTACCAGTGTTATTATAGTTAACTAAAATTGAAACCATAAAAAAGTTGCTTGAAATAAAATAAATTGTAACCTAAATTAAAAAAAAAACTTATTTCAGCTAGTTGCCATTTAGTTTAACAGTACTAAATGTAGTTCAGTCATTAGTTTAACTTGGAAAAAAATTACTAAAACTAAAATAAAAAAAATAAAAATGACAGACACAACAAAATTACTA